AAGAATCGACTTTGGAGCTTGCACAACAGGTGTACCATCTTCTTCTTGAACTACCGGAGAAGATATCTTACTGAGGTTGCGTAGGGAGGATTTGAATCTCTCTGCATATGAAGGAGCAGAGGTTAGGGGGGATGGAAGAGAATACGCTGCTGACCGGAGCTTTGGTTCAGCTGAGGCGAGACCTGTATCTGCGGAGGAGTCTGATTCTTCAGAGGAACACTTACAGAGGTGATGGAATTGTCGGTGACTTGAGCAGAGTCAGAATGAGAAGCAGCAGGAGGAATCTGAGTAGAGGAGACATGATGAGCCGATGATTGATTATGTACTGAAGTTGAAACAAGAAACCCTAAATCGGATTAGGGATCTGGGTTCAGGTCAGAGACAGAATCCGGTGGATCAAGAAGAGCGAGAGAATCGTCTGGTGAAGTCATCGCAGGAAGATAGAAGAAAGAAGGGGGAGAATACTCGGCTACCGGCGTGAGGCCGATCTCTGGCGTGAATTCAAAAGAAACTCGAATCGCACTAATAATCGTCTGGCACAGAAACCGAGACCATTAACTCATATAGGAAAACAAAAACCTCTTGACTATTGTTTCTTAAAACTTGCATGTAGGTGTGGATGTCATTATCTTGTCTTTCTTTTGCTGCCTATTCTTCAGGAGTCAAACTCTTTGAAAACTAAATGGAGTAGGAACTAACTTACAGTTCTCAATCCTAAAAATTTGTTTGATCTATCTTTCTGAGACACTTCAAACTTTTTTTTTTCATTCAAACTTTCTTTGAACTTAGATAATTTTTCTTATCCTTTGTAACAATCAATATATCATTTACATATAACAGTATGTATATGCTCTCTTTAGCACCTTTCCGTTTTAAGTACATACATACATGGATCTTTAATATATACACTTTATAAACCCTTGTGACTTGATGAAGCTAAAATTGTACATGAGGAGAGGTTATTTGTCTTAGACTTCAAATCATTTTGATGCGAAAGACTTTTATGTGTGCGTGAATATTTGTAATAAATGACATGATTCTGCTGCATATAATTTTTTCAATATACCAATTAAGGGCATCTCCATTCCAACTCTATTTTTTCTTCCAAAATGGAGTAAAAGAGAATATGGAGTAAAGATTGCTCCAACTCAATTCTATATCTCACTCCATAATAGAGTTGACTCCATAAATGGAGTAATCTAATTTTTGTTTGTTCATCACTCCATAATAGAGTGAAGAATAAAATAGGGATATAATATTTTTATTCCATATTCACTTTTACTCCATTTATGGAGTAATCACTTTTTGTTTGTTCATCACTCCATTTTCTACTCCATTTTGTAATAATTATTCACTTTTACTCCATTTATGGAGAGGGGTTGGAGATACTCTAAGACAGTGTATTTTTCTCTCTCTCTAAAGCAGAAGAATGTCTATTAATATATTCTCTACTTTTCTTCAAACATATTTATATAAAACTTAAAAATTAGCCTCATTTATTTAGTTTTTAAATTATTTTTATTAATTATGATACTTATTAAAACTAAGCATTTACTATACAAACGAACTGTAGTGCAGGGTGCATAAAATAGAAAATAATTTATTTTTAACTGTCAGTATTCTAATATTATCAGAAGTATAATATATTTTGTATTTTCCATCTTAAATTATTATTATTATTATTATTATTTCAATCTTAAATTATGTAAAATGAATAATAGTATTATTATAATATATAAAATTATTTTTATCTTATAACTAGTTATATATTGTCATAATCAAATAAATAAAAGTTGAAAGAGTTTCTTTTTGTCAACAGTTGAAAGAGTTTTTTAAAAATAGAAAAGTTCAACTAAAGAAATAGAGTTCTCTTGGGCATAGATAAATTTTTATTTTATTTTAAAGGTGAAATAGAGTTAAGTTTTAAAATATTTTATAATTTATTAAAGTGGTTATGAGAAGATATTGAAAATTCTTATTTTACATGTGTTGATAATTTTAAAATTTGTTTCATGAAAACAAAGTTCAATTAAAAAAAGAAATCTCTATAATATTATTTGAGAAGTCACTTTCTTATGTGTCGCAATCACGTTAACTTTCACGATGATTGATTACTATGATACCCCTATTGAATTAAAAAAATATATTTAAATATTATTATTTCCTTTTCAAAATTTTCCAAATAACAATATAAAATAAAAAGGAAACATTTACAAAGTTTACAAAATTATTTAAAACGAAAATATAAATATATAGAAATATGGTTTCATAAAAAAGGAAAGTTCATAATATAGTAATATTTAATTTAAAGATATTTTAAATAACATAAAATATACTTTTGAAGTAATAAAATACTTCATATCTATATCTTCTTAGACGAAAAACAATATTTGTATATAATGTGATTCCATAAAATAATTTCACACAACTAATCTTGATATTAGAAAAAGAAATATTTTTTTTTCTGTAAAAAAATAATTTTAAACAATAATATATATATATATATATATATTCAAAGTAATTAGTTTGTTGGTATATATCTATCTATTTTATTAGATGACTACATAAAATAATTAAGTAACATAAACTGATATATGTTTAATTGAAATTTTTTTATAATTTATATTCTTGAAATATTTTTTTTTTATTTTTTAGTATATTTAGTTGACTATAATATCTCACAATACACCAAAACATAACATTTTTTACTGCATATTTTAACAGATATTAAAAACAAAACTAAAAATAAATTTTAATAATAATATTTTTTGATTAAATAATTACAATTATTTTAAAATATCAAAACACTATATAATTTAACGAGATAGATATAATATATTTTAATTGTTAAAATTATATGTTTTCTTAATAACTCTTTTGATTTTTAATTTTCTGTTTTTATGTTTTGGAACTTAATATAACCATAATCAAAATACTTAAGCAAATCAGAATCCTTCTTTTTAAAATTAATTAAAATAAATTTCAGTTTTTCATCCAATTAATCTAAATATTGTAAATATTGATATGTGTTCATAAGCTTCCAAAAATGTATTAGTTACTTATGTATGTAATTTAGAATCAGACAATTTAGTTTTTATTTTTTTTCTTTCTAAGCACAAAAAATCTTAAGTTATACATAATCTTACTAGATATACTTATATTTTTAAGATAACAACCGGTATAAATGCAAATAAGACAATTAATCAAAAATTTAATATATTTAGGATAAAAAGATTATAGTTGAATTCAAAGAAATAGATAGAATCTAATATATCCAAATGATAACTCAATCAACCGTAAAAACAATAAAACTGACAAAATATAACATATCTAAAATTATATATATAATTAAATTAATATAATATTATTAATATAAATTATACCTATAAATTATAAATTAATTTAAAATTTAAAGTAGATATAAATAAATTATTATAATATATTTATTTTATAAATATTTATGTCCGTGCATGAGCACGGAAAAATCACCTAGTAGTCAGTCAACGTAAAAGTAAAGAAACGGTGTGACATCTTACATGTGTTGATAATTTTTAAATTTGTTTCATAAAAACAAAGTTAAATAAAACAAACAAAAATAGTCAGTAAACGTAAAAGTAAAGAACCAGTGTGACATTTTTTTATCAGGTGAACAGATTTGCCGTTAATAAAATGTTTAAAATCATCCAAGTAGAATCTGTGTCACGTATGGGTGTATTACTTCAATTACCAACCATGATGATCAAAGCTTAATCATTTGATGATCATTTAGTATCATCTTATATATTAAAACAGAAATTATGACTTGACTTCATGTGTGATTTTTTTTTTAAAATGGACTATTATTAGAAAGTCATGTTACATTAATTCTCTAATAATCTTATCATTATTATATCTTATGAAAAATCATATATAATAACAAAGATACGCTTAACAATTTAGTTTAGGTAAACTACCTCACACCTTCCAACTTAGTCACGCAAAATATGTCAATAGATATAAGTTTAGGAATCTTCTATTATTTATAAGGAAATATGTCAATAATAGTTAAATGCATCCACAATATATAAACAAAAATCACAGATTCGTAATATGGAATATTTATATACCCTAACAAAATTTACACGCTATATATACTAGATAAATTTATTTCGATGTAAATTTTAAAAATTATATTGTTTCAAAAAAAGAAATTCTTTAAAATTATTTTTTAATAAAATTCTTTATCATATTAATTTATGAAGCTATAAGTTTAGTTTTTAGCAAAAATTTCTTCAAAGTTTATATTATCTTTGCAAATTAAAGTATAAAAATATTTAATCAAGCTCTATTTCTATTACTTTATCTAAAAATGAAATACGAATCTAACAAACAATAAAATATAGAAGAAGAAACAAAGACATGTTTGAAAAACATGTATAATATAGAAAATTTGAAACAATCTATTTGACTAAAACACGTATTATATAATATTATTATGTTTGAAAAACATTTACTATATATATCGTAAATATGTGATTACTATAGTATATACCAATTTACAAGGAAAATAAAATGTTTATATAACTAACTATAAACGAAAACAAATACCCGCGCGGTTGCGCGGCTCAAAATCTAGTTTACATATTAAGGCATATACATCTTTTTCACCTCAATTTTTGACCACCATTATTTATAAGTTTTTTTTGTGGGCACGCAAAAGTATATACTCGAGTTTTCCAATTTCATATATACCAGGAAAAGTATCCATACAATAATACAAATAAATAAAGGAATTTTTTAATTAGGTTAGTAGAAGACTAGTAGTTACACATGAGGCCAGACAGATACACACGTACGATCTATAACCTCAAAATACATATAAAGCAGAAAAACAAAGATTGGTACACACTCACTACTCAGTACTAGTGTATCGCATCAGGCTCCATTTTTATCCATCCCCACCGATACAAAACAAACACAACCGTCTCTTTTTTTCTCTCTCATCTTTTTCTCTATTGGCGATGATGGTGGAGAATAGTTATGGTTACGCTAGTGGAGGCACCGGAGAAAGGATACAGTTACTGATGGACGGTCAAGGCAAGGCGGTTCCTGCGCCATTTCTGACCAAAACGTATCAGCTTGTCGACGATCCAGCGACGGATCATGTCGTGTCTTGGGGAGACGATGACACTACTTTCATCGTCTGGCGTACACCGGAGTTTGCTCGTGATCTTCTTCCTAAGTACTTTAAACACAACAACTTCTCTAGCTTCGTTCGTCAGCTCAATACTTATGTAAGTAAAGCAAAAAAGATTTTTCTTTTTTTTTTCAGTTTTGATTTTTTTAACTTATTTTATTTAAGGAATCATTTTTATTTTTATTTTAGGGTTTCAGAAAGATTGTTCCAGACAGATGGGAGTTTGCCAACGAGTTCTTCAAGAGAGGAGAAAAGCATTTACTATGCGAGATCCACCGGAGAAAAACATCTCAGATGATCCCTAACCAACACTCTCCCTTCATCACTCACCATCCTCCGCCGCAGATTCCATTCTCCGGCGGCGCTTCTTTCTTCCCTTTACCACAGCGTGTCGACGCTGCCGCCGAAATGGACGACCATTACTGGTGCGAATCTGAGCCGCCGAGACCACGAGTCATAGCCACCACGGTGGATGCGCAAGTCGCCGCTTTAACCGAAGACAACGAAAGATTAAGACGGAACAACACTGTCCTTATGTCGGAGCTTGCTCATATGAAGAAACTCTACAACGACATTATCTACTTTGTTCAGAATCATGTCAAGCCTGTTGCTCCAAGTAACTCTTACTTACCATCTTTCCTACAGAAACAGCAACAAGCTCCCCCTCCTCCTCCACTCGATTATTACAATAATGCCACTGTCCCAAATCAGTCTCCTCCTACTTCTCAAAGCTCCATTAGTGTTCTTGAAGATGAGACTAACCATGAGAGTAATACGAGGAAGACAAAGCTTTTTGGAGTTTCGTTGCCTTCGTCCAAGAAAAGATCACATCATTTTTCACATCAGAGTAGCAAAACTCGACTGGTGTTGGATAATTCAGATCTTGGACTGAATCTCATGACTGCCTCTACACGTTAAAGTATTTTGTTTCTTTTGTTTTATCTCGTTAAGTATCAGCATTATTAGCACTAATGTTGTTTATGATGGCCATCGATCGTTTTCTTCTGATTTACTGATTAATAATCTTTTTTTAATTGACTTTTTTTAATTGACTTTAGAGCATGTTTATTGGTAAAACTTTAAGTGGTTCTTAATGAATTTTTAACTATTAAAATTAAAAGACTTTATTTTGTTAAGAAAGACTTAATTATAGTAGTTTAATGGTAGTTTCTTAATTAAGATTCTTAGCGATAAAAAAAATGTTAAACTTATTTTTAGACATAATTTTTTTAAAAAAAATTAAATTTATTTATTAAATAAAACAAAATCAAACATAAATTTTTAAACATAGATTTTAAAATAAATAAAAAATTAAAACATCAAAACGAAGATTACTAAAACACTACAAGAAAACAATTTTTTTACTAGGGCTATATTCGTGGTTAATTCGTCGTAATAGGACCATTACGACGAATTAACCAGGAAACACGTTTCGTTGTTAATCGTCCGTCGTAATAGATTTTTCGTTGTAAATTCCACGTGATGTTACGAGGAACAAGGGTCGTTGTAAAAGACAAGTAGAAAGGTTCATCGTAACCTCAACGTTAACTTCCCTTGTAAACTCCTCGTTCTATTTTGATGTAGTTGCCACGTAAAAGTTCGATGTTAACTCCATGTAAATGTATGAGGAGTTTACTAGTAGTACATGTAAAGTTGTAGTAAATATTACAACGAACTTACTTGTAATTCGATGTTAACTAGTTGTAAAATTTACAAGAAATTTACTTGGATGTATATATAATTTTTAAATTTTTAAAAAGTTTTATATATTTTTATTTATAAGATTCGTAATTTAAAATATAAAAGCAAAATTTTTAAAATTAAAAATTGTTTAAAAAAACATTATACAAAAAAGGTCATAAAATAATATATAAATTTACAATACAAAAGCAAACAAAATAAAAAAAACTACGGCATGTTGTTGTGGAGGTACTCGTCGGGGCGGCTGAGTTTCGGACCAGGTCAACCGGTTGACTCGGGAGGATGTTGCTGCATTCCGAGAGCCGCTCGTCTTTCAATTAGCGCTCTCTGTATAATCGGGTTACTGGTCGCCATGATGTCCAACAAATCCTAAAGTGAGTCCAAACGCTCCTGCTAGGAGTCCATGTGAGATCGCATCTGAGAAGTTTCCTCATCCCGTCTTGAAGTGTATGAAGAAGTTGCCCTTGGAACTTTGTTAACGGAGCCTATTCCCACCGTCTGTCCCTTCTTTCTAGGAACCACCTTGTTTCAAAAAAAAGTTATATAATACATTAATATTGAAATATTAATTAATATAATAAAATTAATATAAAAAGTTAAAAAATTTTCAAAAAATTTACCTCTTCGAAAATCCGGTCGACTTCTTCTATAGTCAATGTGACGGATGACCCATCGGGAGCCTGCTGGGTTAGTTGTGTTTGCCGCTCCTCAACCCGAGAAACCACATCGTTATAGAGTTTCTCGGAACGTGGATCCACAAAAACTCCATCTGGTGTGGCGTGAGTCATCCTGAATAACTCAGTCAGAGATGGCATGACTCCGGTCTTCTCGGCCTACAAACAAAATAAAAGAGTTAATTTTTTTAATTACTTAATTAATAAATAAAATTAAAAAAATTTAAATATTAAAAATTAAACTTACAACATCTAGACGAATCCCAGCGTGAGGCTTTTGGCTGGTTCTATGAAGCATGGGTTCATTGCCGTACTTATCCTTCGTTCTTCGGGAAGAAGAGCACGAGTTAGACTTTTTGACGGAGGCATGTAGGCTCCAATAGCGGATGAGACCATTCCATACAAAGTTTGAGATCTCCTTGGGCTTCCCATCATAACCGTAGAGTTCCCATTTGTCCTTCCAATCCGAGACGGTGTTGCAAAGACGAGTCTTGGCTTTTTCTACAAAAGGCCCCTTCACCTTCTCGTTAATCGAATGCCACTTTTGCTGAAACCGAAAAAGATAATTTTAAAAATATTAAAAACTAATATAAAATTAAATATTATAAAAATATTTACCGCAAATATTTTAAACCACGTTATCTTCACGTGGTCTGGAGTCATACTCCAGTTCGGATGAGGCTCGAGAAAATACCCCTTCATCGTGTCTGAAACACTCCAGCTAACGCGGTTGTTTGCTCCAAACCTGAAAGATAATATAAACTTTGTTAGAAAAAAATACTTACCAATAAGTATCCCGCGGACGATCGGGGTCCAAAATATCTAAACCTTGTCGCCCCGGTTGGGCAAGAAGATCCTCCACAGTATAGGCAGCATATGGTGCACTCGGAGGTACCCACAAATCTGGATGAACCTGATCACCACCTGCGGGTGCGGGAGCGGGATCGAGAGAGGGAGCAAGACCAAGATGTGGAGCAGGACTGGGAGGTGGAGGCATCTCTTGATATGGTATATCATTGGCATGATAGTACGCCTGAGAATCTGGCACACGCTCGGAAGATGACGGGCCGGAAGACGATGTCCCGATACCATCAGTACCAAACAGCTCACTATACGTAGGAGGTGGTCTAATCGGTTTCGGTCTAGGAGTCATCTAAATGAAAAAAATAAATGTCATCAGTTTATCTTAAACTTATTACCTAAACTAATTAATTACGTAGCCTAATCATCTAAACTAACCACCTAAACTATTTACCTAATTAACTACCTAAACTAAACTAAACTAAAAAAAGAAAAAAAAAAAAGAGAAGAGAGGATGTTACCTTGAGAGGGAGAGGAGGTTGGGAGGAATGAACGAGGCGAATAGTCTCGTATGCGAATGTGCTTATATAGATAATTACATTTATCGTAAGTTTGTCGTAAACTTATAAAGCTTTTACAAGACCCGTGTTTTTATTACGACAAAGTTACCAGGCCCGTGTTTTTCACATTACAACGAATTTACCAGGCCCGTGTTTTTATTATGACGAAGTTACCAGACCCGTGTTTTTCATATTACGACGAAGTTACCAGGTCGTGTTTCTATTACGGCGAATTTACTATGAACTATATGAATCCCCGAAAATAAATTCCCTAAACCCCAAAGTTTTATAAACCCTAAACATTCTTCTTCTTCTTCTAAACTTTTATAACCCCTAAACTTTTATTTTATTAAACAAATTTTTTTACACATCTGTTAATTGATATAAAAGAATAACATTTAGTACATATTCCCAACATTTGGTACATATTTTACATCATTCGAAATCATTCGAGTTCTTATCAACATCAGGAGAATCATCATCGCTACCATCAAACTCGTCTTCACATGTTTCATCCATCACATCGTCGGGAAGATCTTCCTATTGATGATTATGTGGATCAATAAGAAAGATTTCATCAGTTTGTTGATCAGGTACTTCTACTTCACTGACACACGCTTCTTCTTGCAAGGGTGGTTCTTCTCCAGCAATTATTCGTCCACGAGGTGTAATTTTGATAACAACTAACCAATTTATTCCTGAACTTCTAAGGCGAGGGTATGGAGTGAAGCTAACTTGCTCGGCTTGAGAAGCTAAGATGAAAGGTTCGAATCTTCTTGAAGAGTTGACAGCCACAACACCGAATTTGTTAAACCGAACACCCCTGTTCACAACAGGGTCGAACCACTCACATTTGAAGAGGACACATCTGAGCTTCAATAATCCCGCAAATTCCACTTCACTAATCTCCTGCAAAATCCCATAAAAGTCTATTTCGCCTTTCACACATATTCTGTAGTTACTTGTTGCCCGACGACTCCCATAGTCGTGTGTATGAAACGTAAAACCGCGTGTAAAATACATATGTGATGTGGTGACTTTTGCTACTGGACCTCGGACCAAATCGTGAAAGCATGGGGGGTAATATGGATCTTCATCTTCAACCTACAAAAATTAGTATGTTAACAATTTATAGTATATTATAGTGTTCATTACTTACGTAATATTTGAGCTATATATATTACCTGAGATTTCACGTGACATAGTGTTGATCTTTTCGTCGGTCCACTTCAGTTGCAGATACTCTAGGTATTTCTGCTTCAACTTGCGTTACAAAGGAACTGCAAATTAATTGAATGTATTCACATCATTATAACATCGCACTTCATATAATTTAAATTCACATAACTATTTACCTTTCAAATGAACGTATCACTGAATGATCGCAGTTGAGCAAAATATAAGTGTGGGCACTATGCTTATCCTCTTCACTAGACCACCATATTTCTCAGAATCTACCACCAAACCATCCAATTTGACAGAAAATATCCGGAACATTGGTAATTGGATATGTGGGGACGACTCCACCATCATCATATCTTCTAGGAACTCTTTTTCTTGTACGTACTGTTGGTGCAAAGTAGTATGATGTGAAGTCAGATGTTTCCGCTGTCAAACTCCCAACAATTATTGAATCTTCCACCTTTGCAAGATTTTTTGCTTTTCCCTTCAAATGTTTCATGGCGTGCTCAACGGATACATCCATCCATGGTGAACAGGACCACGAAGCAATGTCTCGTATGCGAGGTGAACAACAAGATGTTCCATGACCTTAAAAAATGCTGGAGGCAAAATTTTCTCTAAGTTGCACAATATGATCGGAATGTTCTCATGAAGTTGTTCGATAAATTCTTCCTTGAATGTACGTGTGCTTAGGTCTCTGAAGAATGCTCCAATGGATGCATATTGCAAAATTAATAAACTGAATAAAATTTCATAACATATGTATATATAATATTAACTAAACAACAATATTTACCTGCAAGTGCTTCATGTACCTTTGCTGGAAGCAACTCAGTAAAAGCGAATGGAAGTAGTCGTTGCATAAACACATGACAGTCATGACTCTTCACTCCTGAGAACTTTTGACCTTGTTCAATACATCTTGAGAGATTAGAAACGTATCCATCAGGGAACTTAACTTCAGATTGAACCCAGTTAAAAAAAGTCGTCTTCGCTTCTGATGACAATCGGAAGATAGGAACTGGAATGTTTCCATTGCTTTTGATATGTAACTCAC